TACCCAGAGAGAACCCACACATGCTCAGGGAGAACATGCAAACTCCATGCAGAAAGACCCCAGGCCCCAGAGCCTTCTTGCTGCAAGGCCCACTGCGTCACTGAGCAGCCCGCACCATCTCTCAATGGGGAAAAAATGCTGACGGCAGCATCACGCTAAAGTGATGTTTGTTATTTAGTGGGCAGTCTAAGAATTGATGTGACTATGAATCCATTACAAAGCAGTGCTGAAAATAAACGGCTGAAAGCCCTATTGTCAGAACAAAAGAGAAATGGTTTAAATCAAGGCATATTTGTTTTTAAATAGTCTTCAATGTCCAGATCCATATCCAACTGGAAATTGATATTCACAGGAACTCTCTATCCAGTGTGACTAAGATCGGAAAGAGGAACGTTGAGAATTGTCCGTGTCTGGGTGTGCAATGCTAATAGAGACGTACACTGAATGATTTGCAGCAGGAAATGCTGTAAAAGATGAGTCTCACCACGGTATAGCAAGATATTTGCACATTACACTTTTCATATTTTTATTTAAAGAGAATTGTAAGCATCATAGCATTATGCCCTACTGTGTTTTACATAGCTCATAAAATCCCAATTTTGATAGATAATCTTAAATAATTTTAATAGATGATCCTTTCAATAACAGTTTTGCAATACAATCTTAAAATGATTAAGGAAAATGTTAATAAGTTTCCAAAACACCATAGGGTCCTGTTTTATTCCACAGCAATGAAAATTAGCTGAATTCTGTCTTGTTCATGCAAGTTACTGATCTGACTTATGTCTTTTCTTCTGTTTTTGCCTCATATATATTCAGTGTGATCTGGCTGCTGCTGTTGATCAGCTCATCGGGAATCACTCCAGCCATGCGGAGGAAGCACATGAGAAAATCGAGGCAAACGAGACTGTCAGTGTGTCTCAGTTCCCAGCTCTTGCTGCAGGCAGCGTCCTCTATCTCATCTCGCCTGACTTGGTCTGTGCTGCGATTGGAGAGGGGAAATGGGCAGAGGAGAAGGAGCGTTTCCTTCACAAATATACCCATATGGACCACTACAAACACGCTCACAGTCACATAGGCATTATTGGACTTGAGAGTGTGATTCAGGATCTGCACAACCACTATGAGCCTTCAGATGATAAGGTAAGACTCTGTTAAATACCTTCAGTGTGCGTTAAAATCCAATAATATACGTTCAGCTTGGATACTGGTTTTAAAAGTTTGGTTTCAAGATCTAGCTGTGGGTGACATGATCTTAGATTTAGACACTTTGGCTTGTAGCATAATTTTGCTCCTGGTTTTGAGAGTATTAAGAGGTTCACTTTAATTAGCAATAATTTGGGCTTTGGCAGCTATATTTGATTTTTATCAGTTTTTGAAGTTTTGTCCTATAATAAACAAAAGTTTTTTTTAAAAAAGGAATATAGAGCAATTTAATAAGCTTACATAACAGTCTTTATCACCATGTAGTTAACATTTTCTCAAGAGTTCAGCTTTTATCTTTTACTGAAAGTATCAATAAAAGGGCATCTGTAATTTAAGAGTCCTTTTATTAGCTGACAGCATCAGCCAACGAGTCAAAGTTTACACGCCACCAGGTCAGCACAGCATTTTAACCTGTGCACCAGCGTAAGTCGGATCCCACCCTGCTCATATCTGGTGAGAACCACGTTACCCCATCAGTGCAATAAAAAAAGGGCCACTCATGATGGATTAAGTTTGCACCATATAGGTTAATATGCAAAAAAATAGCATGTCATGAAAGAGTTAAAGACCTTTTTTAATAGGCAAAAACTTTTGCCATCAGAAACGGAATTTCAGTTGTCCAGACTGAATCTGCAAAAACAAAGCTAAATATAGGTGAAAATTTCTTAAATTAAGTGTATTTACCCTTAATTTGGGTAGTTAAATAAGATGATTTGCCAATCTAAGGAGCATTTTTACTCTCAAAATAAGATAGTTGGATAATATGCACTTGAAATGGGACAATGCAATAGTGTTTTCTTATTTAAGGTAGAAATTGTCTCGTTTCATTGGCAAAGTGACTCACTTAACCCCTCAATTCAAGAAAAAATGCACTTATTGTAAGAAAAAAAATACTTATTTAGATTTCTATTTTGTCAGTGTACCTTTTAGGGAAGTTGTATTGTTGCAGGATTTGCGAAATTACAAACGCTTGAAAATCGTTGCCAGAAGCCAATAGATGCATCAGCCTTGAATGCAGAGATGTTTCCAACTGATTTACCTGTACCATTCATAACTGTAGACTCAGCTCTTCACTCTGTTTTATTTGGAAAACCAATTTAGCAAGATTTTGATTTATTAATTTCCTCCAGTAGTTGTGAAACAAATCAAGAATGTGATACATTCTTGTGGCAGATGCCACTTGGTGATTTACCCAATCAGCTCAAAGAATTGTACTGGATGTCCCTCCTTTTTGCAATTGCTTTCCACTGGAGCACATTTACACATATTACGATGGTTTTTGCCAGGGTAAATCTATATATGCAAAAAAGAAATTTATGTATTAGTCTAAAGGTAGATTGAACTAAATTGAAAATGTATGTAACAATGTAAAACTGAAGAAAAACTGTGTTTAAGCATTTTAAACTAAATTAATTTGCTTTGAAACAAAACAATTCAGTAAGACTAATTTTACCTCCAGTTTAGAATTCAATTGAAATTCTGACTGCTGGAAAAATACCAGAGTTATTTGATGTAGATTGAGGTTGTGCATATTTTAGCTTCCTATTTTAGAAAGTAAGTCACTTTTAACAACATTGAATATTTCTAAGTATCTTTGACCATGTTCAGCATAGTCAATCACCTTATGCATGTTTTTCCTGCAAAATGTTAAGTGTTTAACCAACCCTCGCTTTGCCTGCTGCATTGCAACCATTTTTAGACCATTCAAAACAAAAATTAAAAACTATTTCTATGTTTCCGGTTTCTCAAATGGCTATCAGCATTTTTTAAGGCAGAGATCATTTTTAATCCTCTACTCATCTGTTAGATTTATGTTCCAAAATTGCTTTAATATGAGGCCATGAGATCAGGTTTGCACCAGTAACAATAATCACAGTGATCTGGTGGCTTTCTCACACCAAAATCATTAAGTGAAAAGTAAGAAAGTAAGACAGAAAACATGTTAAATGCTAATGTGAAGAGTTTCTTTTTGTGTTGACATTGTGTTTTTGCATCATGTCCAATAAGTTTGAATTTGATACGTTAATATCCCTAAAGTTAATTAGTTATGATTAAAGGTTTTCGTAATAGCTTAAAGTGACAAGAAGATTGCAGGAAAATGTTTTGATTATTGCTTTTCTTCATTTTTCTTACTTTAGAACTGTGTAACAGCTAGTGGCATCATGATGGAGGTTGACCCAGCGTCATCAGATCAGATACAGGAAGTAGGTGCAGTTTTGGGGCGTGTATTGTACCACGCCCTCCTTGGTCATTGCTTTGGTCAGCCCCTACCAGAGGAGAGCTTTTTCCTGGATTTTGTCATGACTCAACTTGGTTCAGAAAATTTCACTGTTCATGGTAAGTAACCAGTGATTGTATCCATGCAGAATCTGTCTGAAAAAACAATTCATCCACTCTTACCAGGGATGGACTGGGACAGAAAAATCGGCCCTGGCATTTTGGACTAGACTGGCTCACCACATTTTTGAGAGAGAGAGAGAGAGAAAAGTCACAGTCAATCACACAAATTGTGCTACTCACACACCTCCAATCAGACATCCCAGTAATAAATGAGCTTGTGTCAGTAGTCTTTCCAAATTCAATACATACAACTGTGTATGTATGTATGTAAAACAAAATAAAGCATGACATTTCTCACGATATGTGAGCCACCTCCTGTTGGTTGCATTTTTAATGGTGAATACCTTTAGCACAACTGTATTTTTTGTGCTTTGTTGTGGGTGGTGATTAAAAAAGTTTTGTAAAAAGACAAGGATCAGGACAGACAAAGTAATCTATTTCCTCCTGCTGTCTGCTCTCATCTCTCTCGCCATGTCTCTCCTCAGCCGCACTGACATCATGTTCACTGCTCGGTTCGCCGTCGCCTCCACTACAACCACAGACATCCCAAGTTCCAAAAACTCATTTCAGGGAGATGCAATAACAATCTTATTGTACAATTTATTTATGATGTTTTATAATAATAAATAAGTGCCATAAAATATTTGCTCACATGCTTGCATTAATTATCTGTGCCCATGTTTTTATAATATAAATAATTGCCTAAAAGTTCATTTGGTGCCCTATTGTGCCCCTGTATAGTACTGGGTCAGCTGACGCCCCTGGCCGCACCGTGCGCCATACATGCACTCCATCATTCTTCACCCTCACTAGACATGGATACACTTTACTATATTCTCCTGTAAAATGAGGAGACTGTAAAAGAGTAAACTGAAACTTATTGGCTTATTTTTGTGACTGATCCAATCAGCTCTCTGTTCAACCAGTCGCCTGGAATGTTGGTTGAACAGAGCATTGCTTTGGACAGATACGCTGCACAGGTTTCACAAAGAAACCTCCTCCTCACACCCTGCTCTGTCTTGTTGTTGTCTGCGCAATCGCAATAGTTCTAATCCGCACATGATGCATGAATTGTTGTTTTGCCTGCTCGCTCTCACTGGCATTAAAAAAACACCACCTCCCATAGTCTAAAATCCAGGATAATTTATCCAACTCGATGGCATCCGTGAACAACTGTCGATATCAGGGAGTCTACTTGGGATGTCTGCACCACCAACATCATATTTTACATCAGACACCGGAGCAGATGAAGGGCCTGCTGTTGGGAACATGTCAGTCAGTTTGACACATTTCGCAGCGTCCGTTTGAAGAACTCGTTTCTTTTTTTCGCCCAGTTTCTCTGCGCCTCCCTTGCATTTGTTATCCATTACTATTGTGAACACCGCTGCACAAAGTTCCAATGGAGAGTGAAAGTATTTTTCTACTTTATGATTGGTCTAGTCCTTTAGACTGTCAGGGATGATAACCAATGGGCTGCAGTAGCCTGTGGTAAGGGCCGGATGATCGGAACAGACTCTTGCGCTGCTGATTTTATTTTTCTTCATGCATTATGCAAATATAACGAGGCCGATATATAATGATAATAATACATATTATTAATATACATGTCGGGTCTGCCGGTCCAAACAGCACGTCGGCCCACTGGGCAAATGCCCGGTACGCCCGATTACCAGTCCATGCCTGGCTCTCACAACTTCAAATCAGTTTGTGCTCAGACGTTCTTTCTGGTTTGTAGATTTAGAGGTTCTCATGAAGAGCCTTAAAATTGGACCAGAGGAGGACCACGATCATGATCATGACCATATTGAAGATGCTAAAAATTATCAGAGGAAGCAGAGAGGACAAGTGCGTCATGTAGGAGATCAAACTAACAACACCTGGGATGAGGTATGTATGTAGAAAATATAATTTAGAAGTCCTCAATTGAAATAACACCATGTTGGTGCAACCTCAAGTACTGCAAAAAAAAATCATCAATCGCTCTCATGCATCATATAGTTGACTTTAGTGAAGGAAAAATAATGGTTTAATTCAGTAATCAAGTTTTCCAAACCAGCCACACTGGAGAGTTTGGAAGCACAAGCATCCAGTTTTAAAGTTATTTCCCAGTAGCCTTAGCAAATTGAAATCCTGCCTATGACTAAAACACTTCTAGGCTATTTTATTTACATTTTTGTAACTGATACCTTTTTTTTTTATTATTTTAAACCTGGTCATGTTCTAAAACATTTCATTTTGAGAAAGAGGTGAAAACAGAACAGCATAATTATCAGATAAAATATTTCCTACTAATGCAGTAACTTCCGGTGCTTTGTCCTGGAAGAATTGTATTTTTTCTAAATGTAACCTTTTAATTCAGGTCAATTTATATCATCTGCTCATCTCATTTCTAAGCACATACTGCATAACAAGCTAGCATGCTCAGGGAATACTGTAAAGAATGCACTATATAGATGATTGCTTCTCTTTTTCATTATTTCCAGCAATGTTTCACAGCTGAAGAATTGGTCCAGATCTATGGTCTGTCTGGGGAAAGTTCTGGAATGGGAAGATCTGGCTTTGCAAAGCTGAGTCCTGCATTGGTCCAGCAGATCCTGAGTGGATCATGCTCAAAGGTTATAGAACCAGCAACCTCCGATCAGCTCTCCAAAACTGAGAGTGAGTGTGACCATGTCTTTAAAGTTAAACTGGCAGATTTCAAGAGAGCTGCCATAGAAATGGCTACTGCTGTGATTGCATTATTGTAGTATTGCACTTCAATTTCTTTTTATCATGTAACCAAAAAAGACTATTTGATCATTTTGTAATTCTTATTATACCTGACCTCTTCTTTTTCCTGTTTTTCCTGCTGCAGAATACCTCTATGCGACCCTCGCCAATATTGTCATTACCCTCATGGCCATTTTAGGCGTTGCGATCCTACTGTGTACCTCGTGTACCAGTGTTTTCCAGATGTGTATCCAGTTCTGTATCAGCATGGCTGTGGGTTCTCTGACTGGGGATGCCCTGCTGCACCTCATACCATCGGTGGGTGATTTTAACCCTTGTAGAGTTGAAGTAAAATGAATTATATGAATATACAGCTTAGATACCATGTTAACTGGTAATTCAACATTGTAAATAATGCTTTTTCTTTTGCAAAGTATAACTTGAATTTATTTTTGGTTTATGGATCTTATAAAGACATTAAGGTTTAACCATTCTGTGGTCTTCTAGGTTCTGGGCCTACATGTTCACTCAGGGGACGATGACCACGATCACCAACATGAGGAAACCCCAGATTATACATATAAAATGCTAGCGGTGATTGGTGGGATCTACGCATTTTATCTGATGGAATCCATCTTCTCAATGATCACAAATGAAAGGAATAATCATCATGAGGTACGAGGAGACCCTGAAACTGAAAATTGTACTTTACTTCTTGGACCGAGTCACAGCGGCATCAGTCTCAGCAGACACTCCCAAACTTCCCTCTCCTCTGACACCTCAGCAATCTTGTCTGAGGGAAGCTCAAGGCAATACAGGGCAAGCCAAGAGACATGGTCCCTTCAGTGTGTCCTGGGGGCATTAAAAACAGATGTCCAAGCCACCTTAGCTGGCACCTGACATATTGATGTGATGGAGAAGTAATTCTATCCTCGCCTAGATGGTCAAGCTCCTCATCCTATCTCTAAGGGAGTTTCCTGCCACCTTGGTCAGGAAGCTAATTTTCAGCAGAGAGCCAGCAGACCCATCCACAAAAGAGCAGGGACAAAATCTATGCGTCCTCCAAAAAGACCCTCTCTGGCCCTTTGCTGCCGCTGGCAATGCAAACCCGGCTCCAGCTTAGCTGGTACAGCACCTCTAGTGAAAAAAAAACAGTCTTGTGGAAGAATGTCAGCCTTGAGAGCAAGATAACATCCACTAAGGTACTTGGGTTGGATTTCATCCCCTTTTTTCACCACCTTGGTGCCTTCATCCTGGGTGAAATAAAAGTTAATCTGATGACAGATTGGTTGAGGAGATCATCAAAGGTCAGCAGTTCCCACTGCCCTAAAAATAGTGTTACTGCTTACCTCCTAAGGTGTCAGATGGTGTGCAATAGTCTTTCTCTGTGGTCTCTCCAAACTTCTCCCAAGCCTTGGTTTTTGTCTCTGCCACCGCCTGGATTAGGGGCTTCCTTACCTTCAATGAACTTGCCTCAGGAGCTCCACAAGACAACAAGACTCGATAGGGCTCCTTCAGATTGATGGAATATCTTATTGCTTACGTCCATCAATGGGTTTGGTGCCTGTTGTTACAACAGGCACTGTGGGCGTAAGGTCTGTGGTGCCTAAGGTGGCTGTATTAGCAATGGAAACACCACATATCCATGTTCCCAGCATCCCCCAAAATGTGAGAACAGCTCTCCTGGAGCTGAGAGTTAAATACATCCCTTCTCGAGTGGCTTGTTGAGTCTGTCCAGCTTCCTCATCTTCCAGCATATCCAGCTCTTTGCCCATCTTCAAATGAGTATCTAAAACATGCAGCTGAAGGTCAGAAGACACTTATGGTCAACCATGGTGTTCATTATGAACAATCAGTGGCTTGCAAAGAAACATCAATGTCCCCCCAGATCATCCCTCTTCAGGTGTCATTGTTGTTTCCCACATGGGCATTAAAGTCCCCCAGGAAAATGATGGATTCCTCAAGAGGCGTGTTCTTTAGCCCCTGATGTTGCCATTTGGAGACCCTGGCAACAAAGCCTCTGGGATCATCTGAGCACTGAAACCCCGGCCACCACGTTAGGGTGGCAGTTCAAGGCGGGGGACATTTGTATTAAAAAAACTAAAATAATAATCCAAGTATATATATATATATATATATATATATATATATATATTTTTTTTTTTTGTCTAAAAATAAATCAAAATAACTTTCAATAATATATTATCCGCCTCTATTTTGCACCTGAAGAGTTAAGTATGGAGCACTAAAGGGGACAAAATAAAATTAATATAGCATGAAATGGGTTTCATAATGACACAACTAAATGTAAATAATGCAATGTAAAATGAAATTCATAAATGTACCATTTAATAATGCAATGTAAAAATGCTTAATTCAGTAAATCCATAAATAAGATATTCTATTAAATTATGAAATGTAAAACCAGAACATTAAATGTGCCATTAAATGATTTTATATACATTTTAGATTAAGACATGAAATAATGATAGCCATTTTTTATTTGCTTTACATATCATTTTCATTATTTCATTCTGTATTTATAATAAGGGTCTGTGTATCAGACTCATCATATAATTATCTTAACTATCATCTACACCCATCAAACTCAGTGTGCAGGAATAGGGCTGTCTCCATAGAAACCATGATGTCTGACGGCTGTTTCTCACTGAGCAAGACAAGACAACTTCCTAATTATGCAAAGTTGTGTTGTTTGTGATTAAAGCTGGAAAGCCGTGTTAAAACAGCCTGTACAAAATCAGACTCGGGTTTACCAGTCAGGAATTGTGATGTTTGTTTATCTTTATTCTGGTAGATGACAAATAGAAATAATTTATCTCAGACTAATTGACCTAAAAAGTTAGGGTTGACTCTGATTTAATGCCAAAAAGTAAGAAAAAAGCCTTTTTATCCATCAATACAGTTGATATGCACATCCTGTTTCAACTACATTTCTTATCAACTTAAAATTCGGAAATAGATAATTCCATAAGTGTTTTGCCTCTTGGAAATTCTCAGTGTCCTTCCAACAGATTTGCCATCAAATCACCATTTTTAATTTTTGAAATGCTTCACACCCCTTGCAGGAAGAGTCTAACCCTCACCACTGTGACCATGCTGGGGTTTTAGAGATGTATCAACAAGAGAAGAAACAGAAAGATAAGTCACAGTCTTCATCAAAGGCAGATCTGGTGAGAAATAAATAACATTTATAACGTTTTAAACATTTTTAGAGTTCCCTTATTAAAATATTACTTGAGTATTTACGAGAGAAAAAAAAAAATACTTGCAAAGAAGTACGGTAGCACCCAACAAATTGCAGATGTGTCAGGATAGATCACCTTTAAAACATACAGAACAAGTATTGCACAGCTATTTTAAAGTACTGTGGCTGTAAATGAAATGCAATACGTATATTTCAGGTAGATACTGAAGGGGAAGAAAAAATCAATTTAGAGCTGAAAAAACAAAAAAGAGGTGAGTGGAATGGCTTACAATAAAAAGTGAATTTGTTAAAGTGGGACATTACAGATGTTTATTGCATAAACCATAATCTTACCTCTTCCAGAAAAGAGCCTACTGCCTTACATGATAACCATTGGGGACGGGATACACAACTTTGCAGACGGATTAGCAATAGGTGCGGCTTTCTCTATGTCATGGAGGTCTGGTCTTTCCACATCCCTGGCTGTACTCTGCCATGAACTCCCACATGAACTTGGTGAGCTATCTCACTCCGAAAGTCTAATTTGATGGTGGAGTTTTTTTTAGATAAAGACTTATCATTGCTGTTGGTTTTATTTCTCCAGGGGATTTTGCCGTCCTGCTTCACAGCGGCTTGTCTGTCCGAAATGCATTGCTTTTAAACCTGGGCAGTGCTCTGACCTCATTTATTGGGCTGTATATCTCTCTGTCTGTAGCCACTGACCTTGCAACCCAACAGTGGATAGGTGCAGTAGCCACAGGGCTCTTTCTATATGTCGGTCTGGCTGATATGGTGAGTGCTACTGTTCACTTACCTTTCACATAAATCCTGCAGAAACAGATTGAAAACTCCCTTTCGTCTTTCTTACTTGCAGCTCCCTACGTTGATCCATGCTCACAGTAAGAGACAATGGCAGAAATTCCTGATTCAGAATGCCGGCCTCCTAACTGGTTGGATTATCCTGCTGTTGCTGTCACTATACGAAGACAAAATTAGCATTTAAAATTTTTTTTTTTTAAATCTGCTCTTATTGTTAATTTTGTTTGCAAAAACCTTGTTAAGCATTTGGAAAATAATAAATCTTAATACGTTCATTTTTTGTCAAAATATTTCCTAAAGGGGTCACAAGAGGACAAAAAGCAGCCATAGGTTCCATGCATCCTATCTATCCGATCATATTGAAGATCCAGAGTGTATAGGATGGTGTTACATCCTGGAAAGGTTGCCTGTTTATGAGTAAAGCCTCTTGTGTCCTCTGTTGTTCTTTACTGTTGTTCCATTCACACTGATTGAGAACACTTCAAAAGGAAGCAAAAGAATCAGTAAGGTTATATAACCTAAAAATGGTTAGGTTAGTTGGTTTACAGGGTCTATGAGAGGTCTACTAGGGTGATTCCAGAATAAAGTTTGCACAGTAATATGCATGATGTAGCATGAGAGTTCTGTTTAAATTGTTGCTCATCCCCCAAAGTGATACCAGATCCATTCCAGGGTGCTGAGATGAGCCCTGAAAGCAGTAGCATCATATAAATTAAAGCAGGACCTACCATGCTGGCCACATCCTAGTTTAATTGCACCAGCTCTGGGCACCCAGGGCACACTTTTCCATACTTTACTAAATTGCTGTTGGTACCATAAATCCTGCTCTTTAGTAGTTGTATCAATAGGGACCTTCCCCAAGAATTGGTACAAACAATACACATAGCACACATATATCAGTGCATTCGTTAGGGTTACATCTCCAATGTGAAAATTTAGGCGAAAGGATTTGGGACCTCTTCATGTTCTTTGGGATATTTTTAAATGTTTATGCCCACAAAGCAGGGCTAAGATTTACTGTGGAGTAACGGGTATAGCGCATTATCTGATTGATCCCTGCAAATTCACTTTTTATAATGTGGGAAATTCCTGCATACAACAATGACTGTGATTAGTTTTCCTCTGATTTAGACAAGAGCATTTTAACACGCCTCTTCTGTTTTCTTCTTATGCTTCTCCTGTAAGAGCACAGTTTACTTTTTTGCTAGTAAACCATTGGTTATCGAATTTAATGCCTTTAACTTTCAAAGTATTCCAAATCTGGATCACTGGCCAAAACACAAATCTCTAGTTGTGTCAGCTCAATAGAAACCTGCTCCTTAAAAAATATCACACAAATATAAACGAAACTAAGACGCACTGAAGCTAGTGATGTTGAGATTGACCCAAACCTCCTAGATCCCTCACCAGGTGGCCTTATAGGCATAAACATTCCTAAGCAACCGAGTATGGGCGCATTATAAGACCTGTTTTCATGCTCAGAAGTAATAATCCCCGCCAAAATGTATGACTCCTCCCACTCTCAAACATATAAGGGAGAATTCCCACTCCTACTTATGTTTTCGATCTTTTGTCCGTCTGAATCGCTTTTATCAGTGCTGCGCATTGTTATCAAATGTAACCAGAGTCGTTTTGGCTTGTTAGATCAGACGTGACAGGTGCATTGTATCACGTAAATTAGCGGGTGGACCCAGATCTAATGTTCTCACTGTACCAATCAAAGGTGATTTTAACCCAGTTGTTTGACCTGGGTCCACGTGGTTCAGTGAGCTGCCACCGAAAGCCAATTGTTCTCAGATTTAAACAGGTTTGTTTACCAGTGGGAAAGGGCCATGGGAAACTTGAAGAACATAAGGTAGCCCCAATCCAGTGTAAAAATGGCCTTATTAATGCTGGGCAATACAAATACTAAAACTTATATCTACCAAATTAAAGGTTGTAAGACGATGGATGCACTCCAATACAACTACCAGTAACATTGTGGGGATTTTGCAGATGGCTTTTCAAAGTTGTTTATTTTAGTTTTTAATGAGCTCTGTCAAATGTAGAAAATACTTTTTCAAATTATAAATATGGACATAAATGCATCTTTTGATCGGGTTAGTTGGTCTTTTTTTCAAAGAACTCTTTGCTGAATGCCTTGTGACAAAAATGCTGAACTTGTTTCTGTTTTCAATCAATGTCATTTTTTTAGTAATCATATTTTTATATGAATAGACAAAATTATATTTTTATGAATACTGTACGTTTCTATTACTTTGTAATTATCTAAAAACTGTATGTACCTGCATCTATTGTTTTAGTTCCTGTTTGCTTTCTCTGTAATGAGCCTTTAGATCATCAGAATGACCAATATTTTATGAATAAACTGAACTAAATTAATTTGTTCCTTTACATCTGAAGCAGTGTATAAATCCATTGTGGCAAGTAATGAATCCTACAAAGAAAGCAGAACCATTCCAAGTATAAAAACTCAATCATTAACCATGTTCAAAAAATAAAACTCATTCCAACCACATGTGTGATACTCAGCATCATCCTAAATAAAACTTGGGTATCTATGGTCTTATCAGAGCACATGGGACAAATGCAAAGTGATAGCAATATGTTTTCGATAAGGAGATATTCCAGGCAACAGACTGGGATGGGCGTCTTCCAGGAAACACCCTGTTGGTATCCTTCAGCTTAGAGCAAGGACTATTATTTCCTTTTATTTGAGTCAAATCAATCTGATGTTATCATAGATTATTTTATATAGAAATAATTTTTTAATCACTTTTTAAATTATTCAAATTTAAAGCTACACTGTAATTTTCAGTGAGATCTAATGGTCAGACTGAAGCGACGCAAACTGCTCCCACACTGCCTCTTATTTTTAACAATATCCGCAACCGCTTTGCCTATTTTGTCAAGTGATGTCAAGGTTTCTTTACATTAGATCACAGCATCAAATCCATAAATTCTTCAACACTGTTGTCAACATTGACAAGTATACAAATTGGGTGATTTGAAAGTATGATGAATTGACCACTGTTTTAGTGAAGGAGGTCGCAGAGAAGCTCCTTCAAATCTAAATAGAAGACTGAAAATATTTTACAAAGGATAAAGCAGGGAATGTTCTTAAATGGTTTTAATCTAGCCCTAAAACGACTGTTTCGTATCCTACATCCAGTACAGAAACGGACCAGCTGATGACTTCTCTCGTCCCGGGCAGCCCACCCACAGGCTCCTCTGGTCCCCAGCGGTCCTCTGTCCATCTTCAGCACTTAGCCTCTAAATGCTATTCTTGGCCTGTCATCATCTGTTCCTGATCCGTCTCCCTCACGGTCTCCTTCAGTGTAATGCTGTCCTCCTCACGGTAAGCTGCAGCCACCCTAACCTGCCTTTGGACGTCTCTCCACACAGCAGACTAATCTGATCTTCCACCATTCTGCTTCAATCCTCTGTGGTTCCCCTCTAGTTAGTCTGGGCCAGCTGTAGCCTCTTTCAGGCCATCATTGCTCTGTCCCAGCAGGACTCTCCCAGCTATCACTGTGATCCTCAGCTCTCTTCCTAAGCTGGCAGCGGTTCTACCGCTGTGGTTCCTCAGATCCAGAGGCTGGCATAGCTGGCCGCTGTTCTCACACTCATTCACCACTACTTCTTTTTGAGCTAAGGAGCGCCGTCTCATCTTACCTCTGTTGTCCAGATGATTCGTTCCCGTTTTGGACACCCTGACCAAAACAAATATGCCCCGAGGGCAGGAGAAAGATGCGAGCCGCTGACAAAAAAAAGAAACAGCTGCCAATTGAATTCGTTCATCTTTATAATAACCATGCAGTTGCAGGTTGTAGCCAGTATAAGTCTAGTTTGCACAGATCATTTCACAAATAGAATTTTATTAGTATGTGTAGGATTGTGTATAGATCTATAACTTGTCCAAGTCCAATTGTAATGCTGATCTCTATAGTCACTAGTTTGTCAGCTCTGCGCTGCCATAGCTCAAAGATGTCTGCCTCCACAAATGCAACTCCTATGTAATTATAAATAGAAATGTCTAAGGCAAACATAAATACTGAGAATTTAAGTTCATAGGTAATAATAAATAACATACATATAGAAAATATTTTACGTTTATGTCAATGTAAATAAATCCCTGTAATTATAAGAACCTGTACCTTTAATTTAGATTCACATTTGGTAAACAATGATGCAACAACTGCCTTACCAGCAAATATTTCTGCTTAGCCTTAAAGGAAAATTCCGGTTTTTAACACTTTTAGCCCATTTTCTGTAGTGTCCAGGATGAAATCGAATGATCGACGTTCCAAAAAAAGTTTCGTAAAGAAAAAACGTTCCTGTAGTGTTTTATTTAGCATTTTGTAAATCCCATTGAGTTCTGTTGGAATAGTCAATATCCCTCCGCCACCGGAAACGGAAATGGGGCCTGTTTACGCTTAGTTGTAGTCTTTTCGCAAGGCTCAAGTGTTTCTGCTTCACTCTGTGTACTCCGACGTCGAGGTGCTAACGTCTCTGTTAAACACTTTAAAAAACTCTGAAAATGGAATACGAAAGGTGGATTCTTGAGGAGGACATATTGGACTTTGAGTTTGACGGTAGAGGATACCGTCGCCAACTAGTGGTCTGGAGTGTGCAACGCTTCAGATTCGAACGGGAAGCGAAAGTTTATAAGCGGTTGTGATGTATCGGAAAAAATAGTTCTGGGATTTACAAAATGCTAAATAAAACAAGACAGGAACGGTTTTTCTTCACGAAACTTTTTTGGAACGTCATTGAACAGCGCTGACGACCCGGTGAGTAGCATATTTTAAAAAAAGAACGTTTAAGGTTGTTTTAAGGACATTATCGGACATGCACTATGGAAGCCATTCTGAAGCAGCCAGGGGGGATTCTGCATGAGCCAAATACCAGAGACAGGACCAATCGTCAAAATTTTGGTGTCGATCATTCGATTTCATCCTGGACACTACAGAAAATGGGCTAAAAGTGTTAAAAACCGGAATTTTCCTTTAAGCCTTCAAGGCATGGTTAATTTGTTTATAAAAGTAAGGTTTTTCTCATTAAATTAACTCAAGTGCCATAACACAAATAATGCTGCATTTTTAATAGAACACAGGTATATGATCTATAAACAGACATGTATCATTCTGCTTTATTTAATAAATCTTAAAGGGACAGAGGTAACTGTCCCTCTAACATTTATTTAATGTTTGTTTTTTGTTCTTCTGTCTGGCTTACTTGTTTTACCCGAGTACGTTTTATGATTATACAAAAATAAACTGGTCAAATGAAAACATATTTTTAATTGTAATCATTAATAATTAGAAAAAGCTGTAAAAAAAAAAAAAAAAAAAAAAAACTGGAACTGTGTGAAAAATCAATTGCACCTTACTACTTGACACTGTTGTTGGAAAGCAGATATGAAATCTTCACGCCACACCCAACCTGATTAATGCTAAACCTGTGGAATCAGTGAGTCCCTTCGATAAGCCTGTCTGACAACATGAAATAGGTTGAAATATCTCACACACACATCCAACTACAAAAATAATAATAATAATAAAGATAAGGAATACTGACTATTTTCAGTGACTGGGTGGGTGGCCTATCAAAATTACTGCCATTAATGGTCTCTTGGAGCATTAATGGTCTCAGACTGCCACTCTGTCTCTGAGCCAGACCCTTAACCCCACTCTGCTCCCTGGGCATCGCACGTCTTTAAATCACTCACTTAAGATTTGGTATTTTTTGTTTGCCCTGATGCAGATGTGCTATGTGATGTTAATGTTATCTCAACTAATCTGCCCCCGTTACAAGTTACATGGACATCTTTGCTTGGGACAGAGTCCGAGAACAACTCACTTCGTGCACAGAAAGAAGGATTATTATCACTCAGAGCAAGATTACGTGTTCATATAATGGGTGAGTGCCACATGCATGACATCA